CTGGGCAGCTGGCACCTCTCTCGAGTGGAAAGCCTCAAATAGTGGTGGATTTACACGGGCTTTCCAAGGCTCTTTCCATGAGAATGTTGGATTTGAATAGCAAAGCTGTAATTTTCGAGTTGCAGCAGACTCCATCCCATCTGTGCTCAACTTCAAACGGGATCCTTGGGAGGCCTCAAATTGCAGATGGAAATTGTGTTGCAGGGAGACTGTGCTTTAATTCCATAAGTAATAGATGGGACATGAAAAAAGGGAATATTCAAGAGGCTTTTTTGGCTGCTGGGTTTCTGGGAGGAGGTAAATACAAGCCTTGGAATAGTGGAATGTCCTGGGAGCTCTCTCCTGGGCCAGCTCGGGCTAATTGGCTGCCAGCAAACCTCACACAGCCTTCACTTGGAGCTGTGGGTCTATTCCAGGCTATTCCTTTCCCTTGGGATTTGTATTTCTTGCTGCTAATGAACTCAGGGACTCGGAGGTGTCTCCTGGGAGTCTGTCACAGCGAGGGACGGGGTGATCAGCTTTGCCTTTGCACTCTGGTTTGCTCTGCAAGCTCTTGGGGGAGTGTTTTAAAACTGAAATATAAATGGAAGGTAAAATCTGTGTAGCTCTGCAGGTATCCAGGTGTGCTTAAACTGAGGATCCTCCTGGATTGGGATCTTTTTATCTATCCCACCCTTGGCCCAGTTGTGCTGGGAAGCCAGAGGAAGCAGGGGAGGGAGCCTTGCCTATATTTGGACCTTGCTGTGTGGGCTAAAGAAACGTAAACCAGTCATAACCAAAGAATTAAAGAGGAACTTGGAGTTAGGGGCATTGCAGGGTCTGAAATTTGTGCTTTTTAAGTGATTTCTGGTTGTTCCCATTTTTGTAAGTGCTTCCTGAGCAGCAGGAACTTTACCTGGGCACTGGTTGTACCTGGAATTGCAGGGGATGGTTGGAAACATCCCATTAATGCCAGCCTTGATCAGCAGGATTTTATAGTTTCTCTGCATATTTTATTGGAATTCTTTTTAATTTTAACTGTTCATAAGAAGCTTTAAATTCTGAAAATAATGCCCTTATTCAAACACAAATAAGGGTGAATTTTCAGCTGCACTCTGGGTATTGGTGACTCTGAAAACAGATAAACACATCAATACTAAGTTTAGGCAAGTATTTTCCATAGAACACAGCCTGCAGTATAAATTCCAGTAAATACATGACAGAACTTCCCAAAATGATGTCTTCTTTAATTATCTGTATTTCCCTGAAGAAACAGAGAGGCTTCCAGCTGGCTCCTTGACCTGAGGATTTCCAGTGTCCTTTCTGATCCTGGGTAGGAACATCCCATCCAGCTTTTCCACTAAAGGTGTTTAAAACCTTCTGCCAGCTTCAATCAGCCCTGATAAAACACTTCATTAGTTTAATTTCAATTCTTCTGTCTTCTCTTGGCACTTTCTTGTTCTTCCTCAGCTTCCACGTGCCAGACCTGGAATATTTAAGTGTGAGGAGCTGTTTGTGTGTGTTGCCACCACCTCTGTGAGCTTTCAGAGTCTCTCTTTAGGGTTTCTTGCTCTCCTCTAGCCTGGGGAAACTAAAGGATGAGCATAATACTGTGATAATAAAAAACCAGATATCCTGTGGGAGCTCTGGGGATGAATTTTGGGGTTTTTTTGGTTTAATCTCATGACTTTGGAAATAATCTTATGGTATGTGGAGGACTGACAAAAAACACTTGGGTCTGTGGGGTTTTATTCATGTTGGCATCCCAGAGCAGAGCTTTAAGGGTTTTATTTCTCCATCATTCCCAGGGAATACAGTGGGAGCTGTGGAAAGCAGGAATCTGGGCATGGACGTGGGGAAGTTCTCTTTCCAAATGGCAAATAAATGAAATTTTATGGAGTAGGTGCCAGGGTGTATCCAGGCTCTTTCTGAGGGTCTGTTTTCCAGTCTGGTGGAGAGGCTGAAGCTGGTAATTCCAGTTTGGGTAGATCTCTGAGGTGCAGCCGTGGTTTGGATGTTCCTTTGGGAGTTGTTCCTGCAGAGTTCTGGAGCTGCAGGATGGGCTCTGCTCTGGCCCAGCAGCTCCTTTGCCGTTCCAGAGGAAGTTTGACTCAGCTCCTTGTGGGACCTGGCATCCTCTGGAGCTGCAGGAATGCTTTGCCAACCTTCCAGCTTCGTCAGGAAGCCTTCAGCTGGAACAATGGCACGGGGCAGGGATGGAATTCTTGCATCTGAGGTGTGTTTAAAGGGGTTTTTCCACCTCTGGAGGCTGCAGGTTCTTGTGTGATGTTCCCCACACATCCCAGGAATTGTGTTCCTTCCCTCTGCACCTCTCCAGCGCTGTCACCCTCAGGGATGAGCTGCAGGGATTAATATCTCGTACCTGGCAGCAGCATAAAACCTTCTCACCTGACAGGTGGCTGCTGCAAAGTACCCGAACTGTGCTTTTCTTCCTTAGATTTTTATCTTTAATCGGCTTCCAGCAGCTGTTTTTAAACCCAGAGAGTCTCCTGGAAGGGTAAAGCTGGAATTCACTGGAAGGGGATGAGGTTTTCCTGTTGTTTGAACACAAAGATGAGGTTCCATCAGCATCCTTGATTTGCCAAGGGTTTACTGCATCCAGGGCTGAGGAGGTGGCTTGGTTTAATTGGAAAGGCAGAGGGAAAGACCTTGTTCCCTCTCAAAAGGGATGGAATGGCATTTCTAGGAACTCAAGGCAGGAAGTTCAGTCATGGCATCGCTAAGGAAGAGGAATTAAGTGGCTCTGAGGTGACTCTTTAGAAAATGACACAGGGATTTTGGAAAGGGCAGCAAGAACTCTTGATAATTGGGGTTGTCCATCTAAGAACATCCAAGGAAGTTAATCCAAATGAAGATACAAATGGAAATGTGGTTTTAATTTGGTTTCACGTCATTCATCCTTTCTCTTTTATTCTGAATGAAGGTGTCCATGCAGGGATTTAATTTCATCTAATAAAGGTACTTAGAGTCACATCCTTAATGAGTTTAGGGTGTGCAGCGTGTTCTCCTCTGCCATGAACATCCTGAAGGAGGTGTAGCCAAGGAATTTGACATCAGGGGTGTGATGCCTGTGGAGGTTCAGGGGCTGCTGAGATGCCAGAAGTCTTCCCTGCCTCAGAAGGGAACTGGGATGGTGCAGTGTGGATCCAAATCCATCTGTTCCCAGTGACCCCCTGTGTGGAACCTGGCAGTTCCAGCACCGATGTTCCTCCACGGCGATCACAGACAGAAACGCTGAATTTTGGGAGATGAATCTCAGCTTTGCCACTTAACTTGCATAAAGCTGATATTACCCACTTAACTTCAAACCAGTTTATTTGTAGATTGTGGGATTTATAAGTTCTGTAATTAAACCATGTCTGATTTGTGCATCAGGACTTTTGTTTCTGCCTCCTTATTCCACTTCCATCCTCCTCACCCCCTTTTTATTCCCCTTAAACAACTTTCCAGACTGAAGAGCAAATCTGTAATTTGCTGTACAAGAACCACATGGGTCGGTTTGGCTTTTTTTCTTCTTAAATCCAGATTTTTTTCATGTTTCAAATGCTTGTTTGCTCAAGTATGTTCCTATGAATTTCTGGACACGGGGAACAAAAAGCTGGCCAGGCTGTCCATGAACAGTGTGCTGTGGAATGCAGTGTCGTGGCACTCGAGGAATTCAGTGATCTCTGTACCAAGAGCAAGATGTTGTTTATTGGTGCTTTCTAAAGGTTGTTCTGGGTCTATAAAATTCCTTATCCAGCAGTCAGGGAGTGCTGTCGGCTCCGAGCGTGTTCCTGCTTTCCTCAGCGTCGTAAATGTCCTGTAATGATCCTGGGTGTGATGCAGACCTGTGAAATCTTATTGGATGGGCTCTTCAGAGCCTCAGATTGTCTTGGGCTGGGTTTATCCATCCAACTTTTGTTAGGTTTTTCCAGGATAAAAGGATTTTTATTTTGCTGGTGAATTTATCAGTTCTTTTGTTGATGTCGTGGTTGAGATTCTTCACTTGCAGGGCTGGAAATGTTTTATGAGGGATGGTTAACTCGATGAGTTTCAAGCTGTCTTAACTCTCTTGCTGCTAAAATTTAAATATCTATTTCTCTAATCCATTGGAAATTGGGTGACACAAACAGCACAAATACAACTCATGTTTTGGGGTTGTTCTCCCAAATTCCTGGTGGTTTTCCCATGGAAATGTGACTCCCATACACACAGCAACATTTTCACTTATAAATGATACTTTCAACCTATTTATAAATTCTTGTCTCCCATGGGGTCCCATGAGCACAATTCCTGTCTTGGAATGCTTTGGGAAATAAAACAGCCCAAATTCTGCTGGAATTGGAGAAATCCAAACTCAGCCTGGCTTGGGTTGGGTCTGTTATTTTTTTTTCTTCAGTTAAAACCTCAGGTGAAACCTGGAATCAACAAGTCTTTGGGATCTCTAAACTGACAGCGAGGCAAAAAGGCTGAAATTGAGGAGTTTTGGTGTCAGAGGAGTACAATTTTTTAAATGTAAGCAGCTGAGCCTGGAGGAAGAGGCCGATTGTTGAAACAGGCAACGTAACAACAGGATTTTGCAACGGAGCTGCAGTTTGCTTTTCCAAAGGATTGCCAGCTTTCTCTTGGAAAAAATTCGCTTTGCGTCCTCTCAGGCCGAGAACTGGAATAAATTTTCCCCTCAAGTGTCCATTTTTTAGCTCAAAACTTACATAAGCACCAAAGCTGAGCTGTTCTGTGCCCAAAATGTGGTGGAGGGATGGGGAGAGGAACCAAGTGTCACCTCTGAGCTAAGGGTGACTTCAGTTTATCCCTTTTCCGGGTACAAATCATTGTTTCTGGAATTTTTTTTGTTGTTTTTCTTGAAATACACATTTCCCTGACCTTTCCCCATGGAAAAAAAAGTAAGGAAAGTAAAAAATTCAGGTGAAAAATCAAGCTTGAGTGTGACTTGGAGGTGAAATTTGGAGCTTAGAATTTCTCTGAGGTAATTTTTGTTTTTCCACTTGTTTTTGTAGGATGCTGTGACGTCAAAACCAGTCATCCAGTTTCAAGGAAGCCAAGGGGTAAGTTTGTCCCTGGAAAATTCTTGACATTTGATGGGATTGAGGAATAAGTTTGTCCCTGGAAAATTCTTGACATTTGATGGGATTGAGGAATTTGGGCTGTTCCAGCTCAAGGAATGATGCTGTGATTGCTGCAAGTGAGAGATGGAGGTTCAGGTGTGGTCCAGGAAGGTGTTTGCTCATGGATTCTCTCTCTCTAAAACCTTTTCCCTCCTCTTTATTTCCTCACCTTGCTGAATCCATGGGAAGTTGAGATTTATGAGGCCGTGCTGTTGGCCAGAACAGAGGAAAGGATGCAGAAATCCATGGAATCCTCACCTGTATCCCAGGAAAACACCGAGCTAAACTCACTGCAAGACTTTTTGGGTCCCAATTCCTTGCAGCAGCAGAGCTTGGAGGCTGCTCTGAGAGTCCTGGAGGTTTATTTAACATAACTGCAGTTCTGTGAGTACCAGAAGTTATTTTAGATTTAGGAGTTTTACTTCCCCAACTTCTGTTCCGATGACAGAACTCCGGGATATTTTTAGCCCCATGAACCAGTCTGTCATGCCAGTTGCTGACAACGTTGAGATTTACGTGGTGGTGTTTCTGGTAAAGCAATGCAGCCCTTCAGTGAACTTGAAAAATGTCATTTAGAAACCTTTTATTTCTAAAAAAGCCCGTGTTTTACTTTAGTCTCTGCATAAAGAAGGAGAATTCAAATTTTTTTAATTTTTTTTTTCCTCAAGAATTTCAATTCATCTGCGACTTCTGGTTATTTTTTATGCACTGGCACATTAAAGATTTCAAAAAGGTTTGGATTGAGTAGACATTAAACCCAGCACATTGTCCTTGCCCACATCCTACTTTGTGATATTATTCTCACTAACAGTACATAGAAAATGCAGCAGGAAAGACATGATTGTTATTGTAAGTTAAGAAGAAAAATACAAACCTTCTTATCCTGGGAAATAAAGAAAGGAGCAATTTCCAGGTTTTTTACTTTTGTTTAGACTTAAACTTCCCTGAAAGCTCAGTGTGAAAGTTGAGATCAAAATCTGCCACTGAGGTTGGGCACAATCAGAAGTGAGGAGGAAAACCGAAGGGTGGGTGAGTTGTCTTTATTTGATGAGCTTTGCTCATGGAATAAAGAAGCTAAAAACACTGGGAATGCTTTCCTTTCCCTTTGGATTCAGGATCTACACTTGACTTTTCCTCTCAAGCTGTTTAAGTTGTGGAAATGCCTCCTCTGAATGTTTTTCCTTGAAGGAAATGTAGCAAAAGGGATGAAAACAGCTTAAAATGCTCCTCTGCCCTGAGCCTTTGCTCCTGGCGGGTTCCACATGGATCTGATACAACAAAAAAATATTAATTCCTGGGGATAATTAAGAATATTTTCAAATGCTCCAGTTACTTCTAGAAATTAAAAATACAAGAATAAAAGAGTTAATCCTATTTAAGCCCTGAACTCCCAGAGATGAGTGGTTGGTAGAGGAGCTGCCTGGCACCTGCAGTGTCACTCCATGGAGAAGGAGAGGAGCCAGGAGGGCTGGGCTGGGCTGGAGGGAGGATGTGGCAGCCAGAGCTGACCTCTGCCTGCTCCTCCTCGCCGGTTAATTAATGGCACTGACGAGGAAAGGCCAAAGGTAGAGCTTTGAAGAGAGTTGCAGCTCCATGGGAGCACACAGAAAGAGCTCTTTGTCCCTTTATTATTATTTTTCCTGGGTATGACAAGGAGCTGGCAGCTGGGGAACCATCTGCTTTTAAGGGTAGGACTCTGCATGTCAGGATTCTCCTGCTTTTTAAGGAGCTGAGGCTTGAAATGCTTTCGAGGGATCCTCCATCAGTTGGGCTGAAGAGATAATTCCAGGAATTTACCTCTCACATCCACATGACAGCATTAAAACATATTTGAGTGGTTTTACTTTTTAAATCATTTCTTCCGCTCTTCCTCAATTCCCCAATCTGCTGCATTCCTATTTTGCTTCCCAAAAAATGCAGCTATGGAGAATCCCATTAACTTTTTGGGGTGGGAAGTTTGTGCACAGAACAACTGTCAGTGTGATTTAAAGCAGTGAGGTTTTAATAGTGGGGATTTTCTGTGCAAGTATCCCTTTCTCAAGAATGATTTAGGGAGGCAGGACATAAAATAAGAATTTAAACAAACTGCTGTTTCGTGAATTTAATTGTCTAGAAGCCTTTAAATTGCTGTGTCCACGTGTTTTCACCTATTCCAGTGTTATGCTAAAAGCTCTCAATGATACTTTCAGTTTCTAATACACAGAAAAAGAAACTTCCATGGTTGAGGAACTAATTAACCGGGGAAGGGAATTGTTGGGAGTAAAACCCAGGGTCAGCAAGGTGGCAGCAGAAAGGAGGAAGTCAGAGGTTGCAGCCCAAAACAAAACAGCTGTTCCAGTGACAAGGGACAAAACCTCCCCTGATAAAAACTTTTTGGGATTTTGCCTTGGGATGTGTTTCTCTGTAGTGATGCTGCTGTTGTTAATGGCTTTTATTCTGTGTAATAGTCAGAATTTCAGTTGTGATAACCAGGTTGTTTTTACCAGTGTTCCCCTAAAGTGGGACTATGGATATTCCTTAGGAGCAGCACCTGGCTGACAGTTTTTCCTCATGGATCTAGTTTTTTTATAAGTTTTTATGGAGGTTTGAGCGTTGTGCTTGTTTTAGTGAGCACATCAGTTAGAATTTAACAGCTGGAGTACCACAGCATTACAAATTGTGTTCAGGACTGTGCTAGAAATACTGAAAATGCTTCTATTTTAATAAAAAGACAGAATCAGAGCTTAGACTGGCTGAAATTTGCAGGTGCTTGTGGGGTGGTGAGAGCAGGGACAGAATTTAACTGGTGGGGCAGAAAATACCCTTTATGTGCCAGAGCCATGACTGTTGTGCAGCATTTTTAAAATGACTCTTGGGAGCAAAATATCTTTGTGACTGGAAAATAACAACATTTCCCCTGTTTCCTGGGATGAAATTTAGGTATTAACAGAGGGAGGTGAAATCTTTATTCAGAGTGAGCTGTCCACAGATGAATGTTACTTGAAAGAAGAAAACAGAAGTCACATCTGTACCGAGCTATTTTTAAGTGTCTCTGGTTACTGGTGCAATACCCAGCACCAAAATTAGGGCTCCCTCAAAGCAGTCACCATGCTGATTTGGTGGCTTGAGAAACCTTCTGTTTTCAGCTAAAAATAATTCCTAGAGATAACGGCCAGCTCGCACATGAGACACTTTTCAGTACTAAAGTGACTCTGCCTCATTTTGCAGCCTCTAGAAACGCTGCAAAAACCTTACAAAAATCCAAAATCGGGGCTTTTGGTGCGACTGTTTTTTCCAGTGGTAAAGCAGGAGCAAGGAGGAAGTTCTTTGGGTGTGTGGAGATGTGATTTGGTGACATCCTGCAGGTTTTATTTTCCAGGCTCAGGTGCAGCTCGATTCCCCCCTGGAAGCAGAACCGGCCCCATTGGATTTTCCTTTTCTTCCCGTTCCCATCAAATTTCCAGCTGCAAAATCCCCTGCCTCCCCCGAGTCTGCTGCTTACATAACTCTGCCTTTGTGCCTGTTCTGCTAAAGCAGAAGGGAATTTTCTTCCCCCTGCCTGGGTGGGGGCAGAGGATGCCAGGAGAGATTAAAAGGGTTCGAGGGCTGCGGCACGCATTTGGCAGGGGAGATAATGGGGCTGCTCAGGGAGGGCCCAGCAGCACCCAAAAAATCTGCTCCCTGTATTTTCAGACCTGGATCCTGGGGATAACTCGTGCTCCTGTATAAAACAAGGCTCAGGTCTGGGTTTCTGGGCTCGTTTTTGGAAGAAGGGAGCTCTGTTCACGCCACACAGGCTCGGCTCAAGAGCTTCTTGGTGCCTCTGAGAACATCGCTGTGGTTTACAGGGACACAGATCCCTGGGTTTTCCAGGCTGCTGGAGATGTCTGAGGTCTGAAGGAAACCACCCAAAACCCCTCCTGTCCCAGCACAGTCATGTGTGGATGCCACGGGCCGGCTTGCTGGCAGCGTGTATTTTCTGCGTAGATGTGGCAATCTGCGTAAATATAAATCCGTGTGTGGTAAAAGCCTGGCCTAAAATAGGCTGGAGCTGGTGTTCCTTCTGTCTCAGCTTCTGGAAGCCATCTTAATTATCAAATATTGATGTGATAGTGGAGCTCAGATGCTGACATTTACGTTGGATCCTGAATGCAGAGGGGAGACGGTTTCCCTTTTGAAAAATGAATGGCTGTGGCGGGGGTGAAAAAAAAACAATGCAGGATGGTTGTGGAGTTGTCTGTGGAGCACACTTACTGCTTGATTAAATATTTAATTTAGCAGCAGCGTCACACTCTACTGTGAGCCATGAAATCTTGTTATGGAATTATAATTTCTTAAAAAAGAATAAGCATGCTACCTAGTGACCTGGCTTGTGCTATGTTTAGTGCTGGATCAGTAATTCTAAAGAAACGAGCCCCGAGTGTTTTACATTGAATATAAACAGTGGGAGCGAGTCTGTTTTGAGCCTGAATCAATAGAATTGGGTCAGGTTCCTAGAACAAGGTGGTTGTGGGCTCTGTTCTCTCCCAGCCGTATCCACCTTCAGCTGCTCTTTCCCTGTTACCTTTTCCTTACCCCTGCAGACAGCGGGGACAACTTGAATTCTCTGCCTTAACCCAGGTGCTTTCCTTGTTGCAAAATGCCTCAGAACATCCTGGCTGCAGGAGAACTGAGCTTTCCTCAGCCTGGGCTTAGCTGAGTGACCAATGTTCCCCCTCCTCCTCCTCTCCCGAGCAGCACATCGCCATCCCGAGGCCCGATCGACCGGCGGAAGTGCGGACCTTCACCTTTTATCTCTCCAATATTGGCAAGGACAGCCCCCAGGGGAGCTTTGACTGCATCCAGCAGTATGTATCCAGGTGAGTGGGGCATCCAAGGAAAAGCCAGCCTTTTTGGTTTTTGGTTGGGTTTATTTTTCTCTTTTACTCCCTTTCTTCTGGAGCATCTCTTCCTTAACAGAGCTTAATGCACGTACTTCCTTTTCAGAGTCTTTCTGTTCTGTTTCAGTGTGGGATTTTTTTTTTTTGGGAAGCATCTGGTTCCCTCTCAACTCCTGTGTGTGCCCCCCACTATTATTCAGCTAACACCCCCCTAGCTGTCCCCCAGTGCCAGCCCCGTGTCCCTCTGCAGTGTCAGGAGTACCTTTTCCATTGCATTTCTCTTGCAGCAATGGCAATATCCATTTGGATTGCCTGGGAAGCATACAGGATAAAATCACCGTGTGTGCTACTGATGATTCCTACCAGAAGGCGAGGCAGAGCATGGCACAGGCAGAGGAGGAGACTCGCAGCCGGAGCGCCATAGTCATTAAACCTGGGGGGAGATATGTAGGTAAGCAGCCACTCAGTTTGGGGCTCTGGACTCCATTTGGGACTCAGCAGGCTCTGGAGGCAAATCCTGGTGTTGTTGGATCCTTTGTGGCAGTCTAAGAAGTCCCCAGTAGTTCCTCATGGGTGATTTAGGGGGCTGCTCGCCTTGCGTTTTCTTCACTTCCATCGTCACCCCAAGGGAGCTGCCCCAGCCCTGGAGGTGTCTGAGATCAGGTTGGAGCCACCCAAAGGTGTTCCCTGCTGTGACAGGGGGTGGCCCTGGCTGATTTTAAGGTCCCAGCCAGCCCAAAGCGCTGGGGGATGTCTGTGTGCAGTGAGGTGGCCCTGGCAGTGCTGGAGTGTCCCCAGTGTCCCTGCTCCTGGCCAGCCCAGCTACAGCTGCCAGCCCTGTCCCAGCTGTGCCCCACAGGACCAACACAGGCAGTGCCCTCTGTTCATAAACACAGCCTGCAACAGCCCTTCTCACTGTGGCAGCAGCAGGAAAGCCTCAGCAGAGGAAATAAAACCATGGTAAATAACACAGGGAGCTCAGGGCCCTGCTTAACCTCAGCTCACAAACTTTGGGCACAAACAGTAACCAGAATGCAAAGTTTCAGTATTTTTTTTTTTTTTTTCTTTCCCTGAGGCAGCTGCTTTTCCTACAGCCCATGTGATCTGCAGCCAGTCTCTTCTCAGAGGATCAGTGATGAGAAGGGTTGAGTTGCAAAATGTAGAACTGACCCTGACTCATTGTCACAGCAGCCAAGTGCTCAAAGCTGAGAAAGGAGATGGTAATCAGGAAGGAAATGCATTGATTTCCTGTAGGCCAGAAGATTATTTTGTTTAGCTCCTCTTTGAGAACATTACAGTAAGTGCCTGAAGTTAAAGCTTCTGAGGGAGAAGATTCTCAAAGCAATTTGCTTCCTGGAAAGATGGAGCAAAACAGTTTTAAAATTAAAAATACTCCTGGCTAAAACCTTTTACTGCCCTGGAATGGAGACAGAGCCGTGTGAAAGCAGCAAGGGCAGAGCGTGTGCTCACGGTGCTCCTAGATAAGATGTCAGTGTTTGAGGAGGAGAGCTCTGGTCCAAGAAGGAAGGGCTTGGAAGGACAGTCCTCATGTGGGATCTGCAGGTCCTGGTGTGCCAGCAGCATCAGCTGATTCCTGCAGGCTGGGCTGGAGGGACAGGGCTGGCTCTCACATTTCCAGGAGAACACAGAGCTCAGCGCTTGAGCGCCAGTGGAGTCGTTCCAGGCAGCTCAGATGTGGAAAAATTTATATGAAATGTTGAAATTGGAGAGCAGCAGAACCTACAGATGTGAGCTGACACTTGAATAAATAGATATGTAAATAGATAGCTGCAGGTAAAGCTGCAGGGGATGTATGCTTGTAGCCACACTAAATGTGTGCATACATCCATAGACATGCACATGTATAAATATTTGAAAATCCTTTGTGTCCTGGCTCAACTTAGTTTTTTCTTGTCCTATCACTGCTCACTTTGGCTCCAGCCTTTAAGTGGAAACCTCCCAACGTGATGTTTTTACTGTTCGTGACCTGGCAAGAGTTAAGGCAGTTCTAGAAAGCTGACGAATCTTCTCTTGTCCCATTTCTGGAAACAAAATCCAGCTGACCTCTGGATTGTGGGATGTTTAACGTGCGAATTGGTGTCGTTCCCCCTCTCACCTCCCCTCAGCCCTGCCGAGGATGGGTCGTGCTTCCTCTCCCAGCACTGTGGTGTATAATGAAAAGCCAGGAAATGGGGCCTGGGTTACACAATGTGCAGCTCAGTAAAACAAACAGTGCAGACAATCCTCAGTATCTTCAGATGACTCAGTTGAAAACGTTGCTTCCTAGCAATGGAGCAGTGCCCTGCTGGAATAGACCTCCCAAACACTTGCAGTAAATGCTGGATGTTGTTTGTCCTAGTGAAGGTCACTTTCTCCAGCCCAAGTGATTATTGATTGATCTCTCCAGGTTTTCAGACCTTGGAACCCACAGGTCTTGTTTGCAGCTTTGCCTTTGGTAGCAGGAACTGGATTTCAAGTAGTCCCAATCCTTTGGTTTGGGATCCACTAAGAGACGGCGTGAGGGTTCTGTTGGGAGGAATGAATTCTTGGATTGTGCTGTCAGCAGCCGAGAACCCCAGTGAGGACAGAGCTGAGATGCACTTGTGAGCCAGCTTTATGTTGTCACTCGTGTGCAGGCGCAGTGGAGAAGGGGTTGTTCCATCAGCACAGGCAGCACCCTCGTGAATAGGCTGATGGCCCAGTGTCAGCCCCATTCATGGGGCCGTGTTTGGAGGGGGAAGGGAGGTGGACCCAGCCCCATAAAGTTCCTATTGTTCTAAAAGCAGAAACATCTGCTGGAGGAGCGTTTTTGCTGAGCTCAGCAGCGGGGAGCCGCTCGTTGACCAGTTCTGGTCTTTCCACTCTGTATTTCCCACTCTTCTACATAATAATGCAGAATTTTCTTCTCATAGGGAGGGCAAAAACAGTTCGATTAACCGTGGGGATACGTGCACTTGGGATAAATGAAAAGCTGGCAAACAAAGGGAGCTTTATGTAAGCTGGTGGCCAATAATACTCAGGTTTCCAGAGCTTGGTGTTGCTGTTTACTTGTTACAAGCTTGTCATGAACCATAAACCTCAACGGGATGCTCGTTGTGGCGGCGCCTCGGGACGGAGGGGGTGTGCTGGTGGTGTTTGTCCTTCCTCGTCACCTCGTGGCACTTCCCAGGGGCGTGATGAGCTCTGGTGCTGACAGCCCACTGGCCTTTGCGAGGCGACTGCTGCACTTCACTATTCTCATCTCATTTTAGGCAAAAAGGTTCAGGTGCGTAAACCTGCACCAGGAGCTTCCGATGCTGTTCCCTCCAGGAAGCGCCCAACGCCAGTCAACCTTGCCAGTGCAATAAAGAGAGGCAATAGTGCGATTTCCCAGAGACCCTTCAAAGATAGGGTTGTGCACTTACTGGCACTAAAGCCTTATAAGAAACCTGAACTTATTCTCAGATTGCAGAAGGATGGACTTTCTCAGCAGGACAAGGATTTGCTGGATAACCTTCTGCAACAGGTTTGTACTCTGATGAAGGCAACGATTTAGGTAAAGGGAATAAAAAAAAAAAATAAAAATAAATGTCTTCTCAGCACCTCCCACCCGTGGCAGTGGAAGCTGTTATCTCCAGGCTGCAGCTGAATGTGACTCTGAAGGCTGTGGGGGACACAGCTCTCAGCTCCCAGTGCTGGTGCAGAGATAGCAGGAGCCTCCCGTGGCTACGCCTCGGGTCACAGGGGTGCAACCAAGCTGGGTGGTTTTGGCTCACCAGATCAGTCCCTTTCAGAGGGACACTTCTGCTTGGTCATGGGGAGGATTCTCTTAACAGAGGATCTACAAATTATTTGATTATAACCTCTAAATCTCTATTTTATTCTCATGGTGAAGGAGCGATGCTCTGTATTGGTACAAATTTTGTATATGCAAGAAAAGATGTCCCCAGGTTTGGTTTTTTTTGTGCTCCTCAGGGCCTTTCCTGCTTGTGAGTGCCACTGGTCAGGTGTGAAGATCATGCAGCTCCTTGCCAAGCACATTATTTGTGTGTCAGGTGTGAAAGCTGTCTGCAAGCTGAATCAGTTCCTAGCACTTGAGTCACATTAAAGGTGCCATTTTAGGCCTCGCAGTAAACACCTTCATTGCTTTATTAAACACATCATGGCTGTTTATTTAAATGCTGCAGCTGCCTTCTTCTGGATTGGAACATATTCTGGAAAAAAAAAATACTCATTTTTTTTTTCTTTTTTACTCATTTCCATAAAGAGTGAGACAGGAGTGCGCAGGGGCACGTCGTATTAAAAACAGACAGCTGGCACAACTCCTTCCTTCCTTAGATTTTTTTAATCCCAGAACCCTCGATTTCCCAGCAGCTTTTTGGAGTGCTTTTTTCAATTCTATCAGTGAGTTTGAGAGCAGGAAACTCCTTTTTCTGACGACCACTTTTGACGGATGCTCTGCCCCAGCCCCCGGCAGGTGAGCGGCGCGTGCGGCACCGGCCACGGGGCCGAGCGCTGATTTAGCTGTAAACGTGGTGCTCGTAAAGTTAATCCCTCTCAGCCCTCCCAGAGCTCCCATCCACGGGCAGACACAGATAAGCTAAAAATTACAGGCTGTGTTAAAGCTAAATCTGTCTAGGTGTGGGTTTCATTGTGCTCTTGCATCTCTCGCAGGACTCGGTGTTCCTGGCGGCCTTTTTGCCTCATTTTGCAAGGTTTCTATTTTTGGGAGGGTTGGGGTGGAGCTTGCAGAGTCCCACACCAGCAAAACAAGGAGGTAGCAGCTCTCAGCCTCTGTGCAGAGAAAAATCCAAGTTGTTCTTCCCAGGAACAGGCAGGAAACAGAGAAATTCTGGGAGAGTTGTTTTGTTTTTGGGTTTGTTCTTTTTTTTGTTTTTTGGTAAAGGAGAACCTGGATTGGTTTTTGTCTCCTGGGTGTGTTTACAGGGATACCTCGATGTAAAACACAGCTCAAATTCTTGTTGTATTTTGGCTCAGGATTTTGGAAAGCTGACAGGACTGAAAGGAAAAACAAACTGTTTGTCATGTAAACTGATAACTGGGCTTTCTATTTTTCGCTTATCAGGAGAGTTTGCCACGTTGGTTGTGCAGCCTTTTGCTCTGAAATTCCCAGATTTTTAGTATTTTTTAATACTAGGTTCTAGCCTCCCTAAAGCAAAAGCAGAGGAATCAGCAGCATCTTCAGTTCATTCAAGACTTCCCACTCCTTTGCTAGTTTTTGAGGCATTTTCCTGCTGTGTGGATAATAGAAATCCCTGAGCACAGCCACGTCCTGAATGGAGAACAGTAATCCCTAAACAGATGCACAAGATGCACTGAATAAAAGCATTTTCCACTTCCAAGGGGAGCAGTCCCCGAGCTGAGGGGCTCCAGCAGGGAATTTGGGCTGCAGCTGCTGGCTTTGCCTGGCTGTGGGCAGAGCATTTGGCACCTGGGCCTCCTTATCCCCCTTCAAAACCACATTGAAGGCTTTATTTTCATTTGAAACTTGCGCTGCTCTGCAAGCTGAGCTTGCCCAGAGAAGCTTCCCCATCCCTGGGGGTGTCCAAGGCCAGGCTGGAGCAATCTGGGATAGTGGAAGGTGTCCCTGCCCTTGGAATTTGATGGAAGCAAACCATTCTGGATCACCCAGGAGAGGTTCACCCTCTGGGAAAGCCTCACTGGGGCTCTTTGCTTTGTGCCAACTCCGGGTTTTCAGGCGTGTACCAACAACAAGAAGTTAAATTTTCAGTCAGGCTGTGGAAAGACAGATCCAAGTGGGATAACTCTTCCCCAAGTGGTTTCCATTCTAATGCAGCTCTGCCCATTCCAGCAGCGTTTCCGTGCAGGCACCACGCAGGGTTTTGTGGGGAAGCTCCATGGGGTAAGGTTGGATAAAACCTTATTTATGGTTGGATTCTTAAGGTTGGATAAAACCTTATAAATCAGGCAGCTGCTGGTGCGAGCGTGCTGAGCTCCCTGCAGTGCTCTGCTGGATTCAAGCTGGAACCCCCAGCTTCTGTTCTTGCCCTGGAGAAGTTCTCCATAAAATCCAGGTGATCCCAGGGCATTCTCCTCACAGCTCCCTGAGAAATCAGCTCTCTGTGGCCAGTTTTGTTGGCTCGTTATTGAGAAATTATCTCCTGGCAATCGTTAACCAAGTTATCGCCCCAAGAGTTCCTCTTTGGCCATAAACTGCCCCATTTTGGCTACGGGACAGGTGTGATAAGTGAACTGCCTGTTCCCATTAAGGCTTTATGTCCAGGTGTTTCCATCAAGTGGTGCTGTGCTGGTCCAGGCTCCCCAAACTGAATAATCTCCTTTAGATATGACTTATTTCCCACTCAACTGGATGTGCTTTAGAAACTCATTATGAATTATTGCAGTGACGAGGCGAAAGGAAAGGCACAGTTTGATTAAATAATCTTAATAATGAGGAAATGAAATATTAAAGTCTCTCCTTGTTCTCTGACACTACTAACAGCTGCTAAGTCTGCTCAGAATTTTGCCTTCATCTTAGCTCTTGTTTGGTCGAGGAAGTGAGGAAATGAAGCCCTAACGATGGTTTTCCAAATTCCTTCTGTTCCAGGTGGCAAATCTGAGTGCCAAGGACAGCACTTTCACACTGAAAGATTGTGTATACAAAGAAGTGCAGAAGGACTGGCCTGGCTACTCAGAAGGAGATCAGCAGTTGTTGAAGAGGATCCTCGTTAGGTAATTATCCATTTTCTTCTCTCCGATAGCATCCAGGGAATCCTGGGCCAGGGAAGGTTCTGGAAATCAGGGTGACCAGGGTCTGTGAGTTGAGTGTGTGACTTATTTTGACACAATTTCCAGCTGTCCATCACCCAGGGACCTGTAGGAGCGGAGTAAACTTGAAATCCATGTGGATCCACTCTTCACATCATCCTGTCTTTGAATCATTAAAGGCAAAGCTTGGGGGAAACCTGGCTGGGAGCAGAGCTGGTTAATTCTGCTGGTCTGAAATCCTGGGAGATGAGTGGATTAAATGCTCAGCTCTCCTTTGAAACTCTCCTTCCTTTTTTTCCACATCTCCCTGTGCAGGCTGAAGTGTTTCATCCCTAAATCTGAGATCTGATTGAGATGGTGGATGCATGGAAAAGGAAGAGGTTGTTCTGTAGGGATAAATCCCTTAAAACTCCTGCTTGGAGTGTGATCTCTGCTCCCATGTTCCCTCCTGGAGCAGCCCTTAACAGACTCAGTTCATCCTTATTGCTGAAAATTTTTCCCCCCTCTTTGTAGATATTTTCCTTAGGTGAAGCCTCCAAGTTTGGAAGCTTGTGGCTGGCAGGGAAAGAGAGATCAGATCTCCCAGTTTTACACAGAATCCTGCTCTGAGTGTTGACATTCTTCAGTGCCTTGGTACAGATTTTGTCATGCAGGCAGAGCTTTTACTCGTCCTTTGTTTTATTGCACTTTTGGTTAAGCTGAAGCACAGCATGGCTCTGTTTGAGCACTTCCCATGATTTAAAAGTACAGTTGACTTGGAGATGAGACTTTTTTAAAGCCAACAGAGAACTTGCACTCTAAATGTTTTGGTGTGCTCAAGGAAAATCAAAACTCATTTAGATGGCCTTGATGTGAAATTATAATTAAAAAGAAAAATACAACTGCCATGCAATCTTTATAGCTTTCAAAAAAGAAAAAAAAGCCAAAGTGAATTTCTTGCTGCAGAAAAGCCATGTTTACTGCTTTTTCTAGAATTGTGGCACTCACTTGGGCGAGGTTCTAAAAATAGACCTTGGAAAGGATGTATTCAACTGTACAAACAAAGCCCTGCTCAGGCAGTGCAGGTAATGAGGCTCCAAAATGGAAAAATAAAAAAAAACCAAACCCATGATGGGTTGAAGACAGGAGAAAAACAGGCCCAGAGAAAGGGCAGCAGGCGTTGGGGTTTGCATCGCCAACAAATTATTCCAAATTCTGGATTTCAGGGCCAGTGGCCGCTCAGTGCCTCAGCAGCTGCAGTAATTAACACATCCGTTAAATTAAAGCTGGGTCTAGCTAGGCTTGGGTTAAACCAGCTCGGTTTTTCCTCCTTTTTTTCTGTTTTCCATCCCTGTGGAAGGTGTCCCCAGCCTGTACCTGGATGAGCTTTAAGGTCCTTCCAACCCAAACCATTCCAGCATCCTCTGGAATCTTTCCTCTGCTGAACTCGGTGCTCTCCTGACTCCTTCAATCCATAATTAACAATTTAAACATGTGATCAACCAGCTCCCCCACAAAAGCCACTTTCACTGGGGTGTTTGGGCAGTATCAGAGTCCCCATTTTCACAGTCCTTGAGTTGATCTGTGGCTGCTGAGGTTGATTTAAATAAAATTAAACAAAGCCAGGACAGTGGTGACACTGCAGATGTCAAAATATTGCTGCAACACAGCCCAAGGTTCAAGTTCAGGTTAAAAGCCAAATCTTGTCAAGTTCTGGGCGTTATCTCTGAGATAAATCTTTCCAGTGTTTAAAGGATATGAGTGAGCTTTAATGCTGATTCGAGTTTCTTGTGGGAGAATTTAAAAGTGGGTTATTCAGGCTCCACAGCTCCTGACAAACTGACTGCAGAGCTGCTTTATTAAAACCTTTAACCCTGAATTCTATTTCTTATTTTTTATTATTTTTTCAGTTTGTCAGGCACAGTTTGATGCAAGAGTAGTTTTTGGTTTTTTTATGGGTGATTAATTGAGGAGCAGTCTGGTGTCAGAATTGTTGGACAAAGCCAGTGGGCTGGGAAAATACCCTGAGTTCTGCAGAGGAGCAGAGATCCAGCCTGGAGGAGAATTCAGGCACTCAAATGATTCTAATTGTCCTTTTTGTTGCTACAGAAAGGTTTTTTTTTTTTTATTTATCCAGTACCACAAATACTGCCCAGAGTAGCTCTGTTTTGCATGATGCAACTTAAAAGTATTATTGGGAAGCCCAAAATGTAAATCCTGGTGGACCAATAACACCTCAGCAGTTTTTGTTTTTAGTGCTGCTTTTCCTGGACCCAGAGGAGTTCACTGCTGAAAGGGCTCCTGTTGCCATAAAATGTTGTTTTAATGATGCTAATGAGAGGGAGAACTTACTCCTCAACATCTGAGCTTGAGTTTCAGCCCCTCTTCAGTGAGCTTTGCTTTCTGAGTTGTCTCAGAAAGCAAAATCTGAGCAGAAATGTGTTTAATTAAAGTCTTCCTGAGCTTTATTTCAATCAGCAGGAATAATATGTGATATCCTTTACACCTTAAAGTTCAATGCCACTTTCACTGATCTCCACGTGAATTACGATTCTGAGGCTGGAATTAATTTGTTTTAATTCTTACATCACCAGTTCAAGAGGGAAAAGGTAAAATTGTTGAAAAGGGAGTTCCACCCTCAACAGGGAATCCTTTCATGTGTCCAGGAGCTCAGCCTTGGACAAGGTTGGTCCAAGATGTTCCTTCCACTGCCAAAGAGCCACAAAAACCATGGCAAAGCAGGAAAGAGACGAGGAATTCCAGTTGCTCACTGGTGTTTTCCTGTAGCATTTTCTCCTCCCCAGATTTTATCAGAGCCCAGGGCCTGAACGAGCTCCTTTATGTCACCTTCCAGCAGAGTTTGAGCCCAAGCAAAGCTCCAGGTGTGCGGTGCCACCTGTCCCCTCGGCACGGGGCGTGACCAGCCCCCGGTTGTGTTTTGCAGGAAGCTGTGCCAGCCCCAGAACAGCGGCGCTTTCCAGGGAGAAGCTCCTTCCCTGAGCCCTCCGAAGGACACCCTCAACTCCAGCTCTCCCCCTCAGGTGGGTGATCCCCCTCTCCCAGCCCCCGGCTCCGGGCTGGGCTGTGCCTGTCTGCACCCTGTAATCACCTGCTGCCGGGTCAGGAGGGCTTGGGGGGTTTTATTTCTGTTTTATTAAGTTGGAGTCTCATTCTGGCTTTCCTCAGCATCTGTTTCTCCTCTGGACGTGGCTCAGCGAGGGCCCTGTGGGGAGGATCTCTGACAATGAGGCTCAGGTTTAGTTTTAAGGGCTGAATTCCTTTTGCAGTGCCTCCATCCCTCCCGGAGTTCCTGGGAGAACACGCTGGTGTTTTCCTCATTACTAATAATTGAGTGGAACGAAGCTGTAATAAGCAGCTCCCAAACACGGTTGAGTTATTAAAACCCTTGACCTTTTGCAGCCTAATTGCTGTGACAGATCAGGGGCAGGTTGGGCTGCTCCAGGCTCGGAGATGCCAGAGCAGGGAGCTGTGAAAAGAACATTTTGCCTGCTTTTTCCATGACCATAAACCACACAGGAGCCGCGTTTGACGCGTGTCAAGCGGAGCCTTGTCCCCGCTTCTCGCAGCATCTCCCAGCGCAGGCGTTGCTGGCGTTGTGAAATGTGCTGCCTTCCCTTCTCCCAGTGTGGGTCAGCCCAGACAAGTTGAGTATTTATTCTTCTCCTGCCAATGGAATGTGTAATGCCTGCTTGTCTGGACAGACGCACCGAGGATTAGTGGCAGAGAATATTAACAGGTAAAGAAATTATGTGCTCTCTGGCACTGAGAGGGAGGCAGTTCTCTGGTTGAGGACTGTGTAACTTGTTTGCCAGGTAGCTGATTCCAAATCCTCTCCTGCTCTGTGCTGTGGGCATGTTCCTGGTGAATGAAGAATGATCACCTCTTCAATTTAGCTCGGAAAGATCCTGCTCTTGTGTCTTTTTTTTTTAAAAAAAAGACTTTTGAAAGTCTTTTCTGAATCTGAAAAGATTCTTGAAAAATCATCTTGTTTCTCTGGCTGTCTGTATTTTAAAGACTCAAAGGTCTTGAGGTTTTGATCTGTCAGAATTCAGTTGAAACTTTGGGTGGTTAGTTGGGTTGGATTTGGGAAAGGCTGGTGAAACAAGGACAATCCAATGTGGAATATAAATGTTTCCAGCGTGGTTCTGTCGTGTCAGACAGCAAACCACAACGTTGTGAGCTGTTCACTTTTTTTTTAATACTCTCTGGCTGTAATTTCTATTTAGAGAAATGGTTTTTAATGGGTGCAGTGCCAGCAGAGGATTGGGATTTGGTAGGCTGGAATGCAGAGTATTTTGGGAAAGTTCAGCTGTGGAATGAAGGTGAAGAAGATTGGTCTGGTAATTCTAGAAAATGGATGTATATAACCCTCCTAACCAGGGAGATGAGTTTGGAGAAGCTGATACTTGTTGTTTTTAGGGAAAAGGTTGTAAAATCTGGCAGATTTTTTTAGCTCTGTCACCTGTTCAGAGCCCTGCAGACAGAGGTGGCCCCTCCTTGGGGAGATGGACACTGGGAGGTGATGTTGCCAAGCCGGTCGGACGTGCTGTCCTTGCCCCTTGAGCTCAGCAGCAGAACCAGCAGCTCTTCCTTAATTACCTTGACAGGTGGAAAGAATTCCTGGCACTGAGCAGTGTCCTCAAGACCCCTGAGTTAGCAAAGAGAGAGAAAATCCAGGGGAAAAAGAGGGAATCAGGGGCTGCTCCAGCCACCATCCAGCCGCGTTTCAGCGATGGAACGTTTCCATTCGCAAACACGTCGCGATCCTGCCTGAGACAGAAAGAAAATAATGGATTATCCAAAAGAAATACCCAAAGCTATCGCTTGTTTTCCTCTGGGCACGAAATAATCTTTGGCTCAGAGCTGTTGCAGCCCCAGAGCTGCCAGGTGGGCACACACTGAGGTGGTTTTGGCTGGCAGGAGCTGATGTGGATTCTGATGGATGGATTCTTCGTGGAGCAGCTTTTCCAGGCTGGAGGCAGCTGGGAACCACTTCCTTGCTCAGAAAAGGGTTGCTCAGGTCACGTTGGCCCCTGTGACGTGGCTTTTTAAATGTCCCCTTTTTGCCTGAAATTCTGAGAACTGAGCAGTTGGCACTTCCTTCCCTCCCCCTTTCCGGGCAGTGCCTCGTTCTTGAGAAGAGGAAGGAACGGGGAAGGGGTGAAGCTCTTGGCTTCACAGAGCTGGGAATAAAATGCAGAACTGGTGAATCCTTCCCTGCTCCCGAGGGCTGAGCACGTTTTTCTGTCACAGGGACTCGGAGGTGCTGAGGACAGATCGTTTTTATCACAGAATGGTTTGGGTTGGGAAGGACCTTAAAGCTCATCCTGTTCCACCCCTGCCATGGCAGGGACACCTTCCACTGTCCCAGGGTGCTCCAAGTCCTGCCCAGCCTGGCCTTGGGCACTTCCAGGGATATTTCCACTCTCTAATTGCCTGGGACAGGGGGAGACTGCTGGGGTTGAAATAAACTGCAGTGAGAGGAGGCTGGGGGCAGCACGGGCTGTGTGTGGATGATGGGGGGAGGTCAGGAATTGCTGATGGGATTCTTTAAGCTGTCCCACCAAACTGGGAAGCAGTTTGGGATGGATAAACTGCTTTTCCCATGGACATTGCCTTCTCCCCTGTATTGCACCACCACCTAGTGGCAACATCCAGCTCCACTTCTGCACCTTCAACGCCATTTATTTCTCTTATTTTTTATTCTTTCCCCCCTCCTCCCTAACAGAAACGATCCCAACCTCTGGAGTTCATCGACCCTCTAGCCAACAAAAAGCCCAGGATCTCACATTTGGCTCACAGAACCCAACCCACTCTCAACGGGAAGCTGAATTCCTCCAACGGGAAGGACACCCCGGCCCCCCCTGCCCTGCCCCCGGCTCTGCCGGAGCCGGTGAGCTCCAGCTCCTCCCTGCCGGCCCTGGAGCTGCCCCGGCCCCACGATCCCCTCTCGGATGTCAGCAACGACCTGACTCACAACGGCAGAGACTGTGAGAGCACGGAGCCTCCCGACAGACTGAGTCACCCCCTGCCCACAGACTGTGCCCAGAGCAGCAAACACAACTGCGGCTCCTACGTCAAATCCAAGAAAAAATCCAAAAAGCACAAAGACAAGGAGAAGGAGAGGAAGGAGAAGAAGAGCGAGGAGAAGTGCAAAGAGGAGAAGCAGAACTGTGAAGTAATAAAAAACGCCGATTTAGTTAGTGTTGCCCAGGAGCAGGTGGCAGGTGAGTGGGGGCCCGGAGGTGCTCTGGGTGCGGTGCCAGGGTTCCCTGGAGGAATGGGCACGTCCTGGGCCATCCCAGCTGCTCTGGGGACCCAAATGCCAGCTCTGCCCTCCCTCCAAATCACCAGAGGTGCTTCCTCTCCGCAGAGGGTATCAGGTTTTTCCTGTTTAACCTTTCGTGCTGTTCGGAGCCGCCTCAGAGCGTGTCATGTTTCTCCTGGTTAAATTAAAAGCTGGGATAATCTGTGGGGATGAAAGGCTGGGAGCAGTGGGAAGAGCAGTGCAGCGCTTGTGTTGGCTGTTGTGATGACTGTTGTTTGGGTTTTTAATGAAAAGTTACTCACAAAAGCTTTTAATATTGGCTACAAAAGAAATGATTGATAAACCTGGTGATAAATGCTGTTAAAGCAGTGGAGAACCAGCTCTTCCAGGCTGGAAAAGCTTCCCTACATCCCACTGGGGCTGGGGATTTATTTATTCAAGGACTGACACAGCAGTGAATCCCCACTGAGGTGGGATGAAAACATTTTCCACTGTTTCAAAGTCGGGTCCATGCGCTCTTAGAAGTCAGAGAATATTTCTTGGCTGATCCCATCCATTCCTTTTCCTGCTGCTTCCATGTTCCCTGCTGTTTGTGACAGCTCCCCAGAGCACTGGGACTTTTCCCTGCAGCCTCTGGGAATATCTGTTAAATTCCCTTTTTTTTGCATTTTCCTTCACCCTCTTACTATTTCCTGCATTCCCCTTCCTGCTTGGTGCATGAAAATCCTGCAGTTTTGGCTCCAAAAGGACAATATTTTGAAATGGAGCCTCGTTTGCTGAATTCCTGGAAAGGGGGAGCTCCTCAGGGTGTTGGGATTGAACCGGTCCCAGCCCTCCCCTTCCCCACAGGCTTTGCAGCAGTGACAAAATGCATTTTGATGCGTTAAAATGATTAATGATCATTTTAGCAGTGATTCCTAAGGACAGTCTGTGGGGCTGATGGGTGTGTGGCACTGCAGAACTGAGAATTCTTTTACTTTTGTGTCTAATCCCAGTTTTTTTCTGTGAACATTGTGTTTCTTCCACGTTGTTTCTCTTCCCCATGAGCCTCTGGAGTGATTCTGGAGAGGCACTCACACATTCTCTCTTTTTGTCTTAGAAATCCCCAAACACCCCAAATTCTTGGGAGATTGCTGAGCCTCCTCCACCACCTTTTCTGCTTCTCTTTTTACTGTTTAATTCCCAGATTTTTAATTATTAGGAGCTGGGTTTTGTTCCTGCTGCTGTTTCGAGGCAACAAATCCGAGCTGGACTGGGAGCAATCACAAACAGGATGTGGTCAGTCCTGCTTGGATCCTGGACAGCCAGAACTGGGATGTTTTCCTAGTTTTGCTCTGGGTAGCACCAGCCTGATCCTTCTCCTTCCCCAAATTCCCCCTGGAGCTGTAGGGAAGCAGAGAACCACAAAAAGTTTGGGTTGGAAGGACCTTAAAGCTCATCTGGTTCCACCACCTGCCAGAAGTGGGAGTTTCTCCTGGGAATTTTATTCCAGAGGCTCTGGAGGGGCCTTTGGGGTCCTTTCAGTCAGTAGGTGGCACTCACAGGCAAAATAAACTTCTGTGTCCCTTCCACCATCCTTAAACCCTGCTCTGCATCTTCCACGCCGAGGTCGGGAAGGGAGGAAAAGCGGGAGGAGCTGCAGCAGGAATTTGGGATTGGGATGTTTTTAGAAACGCTGGGTTTGTGCCATTCTCCCATCCTGCTCAGGAAAGCTTTTCTGTGGAAATCCAGAGGAAAATCCATCTTTTTTTTTTAAGGATACAGTCAGGGTACTGCTGACTCAGGTTGTGCAGCTGACTCTGGTGTGGGGATTTGGAACGGAATTCACAGTTTGTGGAAAATATCCCTTTCCAAACTTGGATTCTTTCTTCCTGCAGCGTTTGGTGGATGTGGAGGATGAGTCTGCTTTTAGGTTTATTCTGTTCTTCCTTCAATTTCTGAACACTCTCAGCTGAGCCTTCATTAATGCTCAGATTTGTGCTTGGAGCTGCATTCCCTAAAACCCTCTCAGCGGTGCCCTGCAGGACTCCGAGATATTAAATCAGGAATCTCACCCTGGAGAATCCCCAGAGGAATCTCTCAAGTGTAGAAGCAGGAGAACAGGAGCTTCACCGTGCCCAGCTCAGCTCTCAGGGCTGTGTTTTCCTCGTTCCCAGTGGTGCTCTCGGTGTTATCGCACTCCAAGCACTGTTTATCCACCAGAAAAATTCAGATTTTTTTTCTCTGCTCGGTGCACTGGCTGACGTTGGCGTTGTTTTGCCTTGAACTTTCAGCCACCTTGTTGTGGCTCCTCTGCCTCTGTCAGTTCCAAGCAAAACAGAAATCCTTTAGAATTCCATAAACCGTCCATTGCAGGCAAGTTTTATGAGTTTGAAGCTGAATTGCAAAGAGCTTTGAAGTTTAAGAACGTCTATAAACAAATCTTTATTTTTTCAGGTTTAAATGGAACATGCAATAATTCTAGTGTACCAACATCAACTTCAGAAATGCCAGATTATTTATTGTAAGTATGTTTATCAGTTGCTTCAACCCTTTGGGGTCACGTTTCAGGCTAAAAATCACAACGTGCTGGGGATTTTTGTTGGACTTTTTGTGTTATTTGATAGAACTTTGTTAGGTGGGTGTAAGAAAAAGGGTAAAACCCAGCTCTGCAGATTTAATAGTTGAGACTAAACTTGCTATCAAAGCTGGTTTTTACCTCCTTAAGGAGTTCAAGGTTATCTCCTATAAGTTTAAGTACTTCAAGAAACATTTCATACCTTAGAGGGGTTTGAAAGGATTAAACATCTCCACGTTCCAGCTGGAAACTGTGAGAGGGAATAATCTGCTTTTGTGTTGGGGAAGGCAGGGCAAGGAAGGATTTGGGGTGCTTTGCTAATTCTTGCCCTCTTCAGAGCCAAACTCATCTCCATGAAGCAGTGAAATATTCTTTCCTGAAATATTCTAACCCCTGGGTTAGGATCTGAGTTGTTTCACCTCTTGACTCTTTTAATCAGATCCCCTCGAGGTTAATTAAACAAGCAAAGCCCAAAAAATCCCAGTGCAGGAAGGCCAGAATCTGCATAAACCCAAACCTGCTCTAAACAAAGCTTTGGGGTGGGGAAAAAGCCGTGGCTGGGGGTGGGAGGGAGGGAATTCCCTGTGCATGTCCCAGCCCTGGGGGTTGTTTCCATCAGAGCTGGTTTGGCTGTGCTGGGATCGCTGCGAGGGAAGGGATGGAGGAGGAGGAGGAGGAGGAGGAGGAGGAAGCTCTAGGGCAGATAAATGTTTCTGCTGTGGTTTCTGCTTTGCTGGGCTGGATCAGCCATACAAACAACGCCTTCAAGGTGACATCTTTAGGGTTATTCCAGGGAATTTGGGTGGCTGGGGGTGTTTTTTTCTCTCACCCAGGGCCTTTATCTCCCCAGGGAAGGAACAGTTTGTGTTCCAGATGCACAGGCTGAGGGATTACAGCATCCTCTGGGACACGGGATCCCAGCTGGGATCAGCCTCTGGAGCTCTGCCCCCAGATTTTTGGAGTTTGGAGCACATAAAATACCTTAAATTGCAGTTTTTTTCTGCAGAGCATCCACACACCAATGGGGGATTTGGGGCTTTTTCCTTTATTTAAGTGAATAGGAGGAGGAGGAGGAAGCTCTAGGGCAGATAAATGTTTCTGCTGTGGTTTCTGCTTTGCTGGGCTGCATCAGCCATACAAACAGCGCCTTCAAGGTGACATCTTTAGGGTTATTCCAGGGAATTTGGGTGGCTGGGGGTGTTTTTTCTCTCTCACCCACATGATGTTCCCTCCCCAAAAGGGATATTGCAGCTCCTTGGGCTCTCTCCAGAGAGAAACTGGGAGAGGTTTCTGAGCTCTGGGAGCTCTGTGGTCTCACCCAGTGTGATCTGACTGCTTTGTGCACCCCAGCCCCTGGCAAGGAGTCACTTCTGGAAATTTAGAGCACTTAAAAAATTAAAGCACTGAAAATTCCCCCTCAATTTGAGGCCTAAATCAGCTTTTCCATGTCCATGCACCAAGCTGGCCCTGCTGCAGCCAGAGCAAGGAGGCAAATTAGAGCCCTCACCTGCCAAAAGGTGAGTTTTACCTTCAGAGAGGGCTGCAAATGCCAGCTTCAATGGCTTTTTATCCAGCAGAATAACTTCCAAAAGGCCCCCAAAAGCACATCAGTTCAACCTGAGCTCAGGACACATCGAGTGTCTCCACAAGGTGCTGGAAATAGAGTTACTGGTGGGGAAAAAAAAAACCAGAGTAAAGCTCCTCACCGTGGTTTCTTGTGGTGCTCTTGCCACATAATCACCCTGCGAGCGTTTTGCAACGATGGCTCAATGCTTTTTGTGTTCCTTTAAAGACTCTTAGCACTGGAAGCATCGTATTCCTGCTGTTCCAGTGCCTGGCACAGATGCAGAACTCCATGTTCTGCGGGCCAGCAGGAGTCAGAGGAGCTGTAGCAGCACTATCTGAGTGTCCTCCTCCACCCCCAGCTGCTGCAGGCTTGGCTGTACCTGCTCATTCCACCCTATCTGGCAGAGATAGGAAGTTTTTGGGAGCAAACGTTGTTTGTTTAACAGGAGGTCAAGGCAGCAATCCCTGGTGGTTGATGTCTCCATAATTCGCTACTTTAACACAAGTCAGGGTGAGAGGGAAGGGCCTCAAGCTGCACCAGGGGAGGTTTGGGTGGGATATTAGGGAGAATTTCTTCACTGGGACAGGGAATCACCATCCCCAGAGGGATTGAAGCCGTGTGGATGTGGCACTTGGGAACGTGGTTTAGTGGTGGCCTTGGCAGTGCCGGGGTTTGATCTTGGAGGGCTTTTCCCACTTAAATCCCAGAATGGTTTGGGCTGGAATGAGCTAAAGCCCATCCAGTGCCACAGGCAGGGACACCCTCCACTATCCCGGGGTGCTCCCAACACTTCCAGGGATGAGGCAGCCACAGCTTCTCTGGGAATTCCATCCCAGACCCTTCACAGTGAAGAATTCCTTCCCAATATCCCGTTTAGAGATGATCCTATGATCCTAAATCATCCACAATTTTGTTCCCAGGCACTTGGCAGAGGCTCTGATCCCCACCCTGTGCTCTGCACCACCACATCCCAGAGAGAATTCCCCAAAAACCAAATCAATCCCCCCCAAAACCATTCACCAAACCCTTTTTCCCTGCAGAAAATACGCAGCCATTTCCTCCTCGGAGCAGCGTCAGAGCTACAAAAACGATTTCAACGCGGAATACAACGAGTACAGGGACTTGCACGCCCGGATAGAGCGGATAACCCGACGGTTCACCCAGCTGGACGCCAAGCTGAAGCAACTTTTGCAAGGCTCTGAGGAGTACAAGGTAGAAACAGAGCTAAAAAAGCCCAGGGAGAAGCTCCCTGTGCACGTGGCAGAGCTGCAGGGCTTTGATCTGCTCTCTTTGGGCTGAAATTGGGGAATTTGGGTGTCAAAATTCCAGCCTCAGGAATTCCTCAGAAAGGGGAACGTGCACACAGCTGACAGCTTTGGGGAATGCTCCTAACCCAGCTCTGTGCTGCTCCTTTTTCAGGCTGGAGCCACATCATGGGACTTGTTGACAAGGAAAGGCCTCAGTGAGACAATTGGTGTCCTTAGCCAAAAGCTGCTGGAAGCTATTAGTGTATCCCAGCCAGAAAAACTCATATTTGCACATATGGGAGCGTATCAGGGCTGGAAGGGGAGTTAGCACGGGGTCATCTGTTCCTCTGCAATCTTTGATCTTAATAATGCAGCATTATTGGACTTGTCAGAGTGATTTTTAAAAGAGTTTTAGCTATTCATTAGCTTGAAAAAGTGAGTCTCGTCGAGGATAATAAACAGATTTTTACAGAGTACCTATTGTGCTAAGCACAGCTTCCTCCCTCAAGCCTCCTGCCCTTCTCCTTGCAAAATTCCTCCCTGGATTGTTTTTAGATCTTGGTGGGGGAGAAAAAAATGGGCTGGGGGCTTTGGAAATGTGAATTATCCTGGAATCCAGGTGCTTGTCACAGGTAGTTCTCATGGCTGGGGAGTGGGGCCTCATCCTTCTCCAGGATATCTGTGGGATCCGAGCTGGGTGTAGCCATTGGATCTGCCCAGGGAATCCCTGGAGGGAGCAGATTTTGGTTGGAATTTGGAGGAATTGTGTACATTGAGCCATCAGTAAATGCCAGCTGCAAAACTGAAAATAATTCCCTATTTATTTTTTTTTTTCCTCTTGTATTTTTTTTTTTTTTTTAGACCATCCACGATCAAATTTTACAGGAATATCGGAAAATTAAAAAGGTAAGGGAACGTCCTTGGCCACAGAAGGCTTTTGGGTGGTGCCCCTGGTGTGACTGAAAGAGATGGGCCCTTGCCAAGAGCAAACCCAGGCTCTGAGGCAATTCCAGCAGATCTTTGTTCAGCTCCAGCCTGTCCCTAAAAGATCAGAGAGGGTTTGGGGGGAGCTGGGAGTGCCCCACGGGTCCTGGGGATCGCTGAGCCGTGGCCGTGGCACAATGGCTCTGCTCGCTCAGGGCCTTTATCTCCCCAGGGAAGGAACAGTTTGTGTCCCAGATGCACAGGCTGAGGGATTACAGGATCCTCTGGGACACGGGATCCCAGCTGGGATCAGCCTCTGGAGCTCTGCCCCCAGATTTTTGGAGTTTGGAGCACATAAAATACCTTAAATTGCAGTATTTTTCTGCAGAGCATCCACACACCAATGGGGGATTTGGGGCTTTTTTTCCTTTATATAAGTGAATTATTTATTTATTAGGATTGTTTATTATCCTGAGCCCTGTTGTCCTGAGGGATTCAGGAGCTCTCTGAAGGGATTCCCTGCATGTTGGAAGTTCATCTTCCTTCCAGGGTCTTCTGAGCTGGGGGCAGAGGGCAGGAGGTGATTGTTGGAAGCCCAGTTAGGCTGAGCCTAACTCAGGTGTGCTCCTTCCCTGTGAGGAGGCACCTGGAGCTGGATAATGCTGAAAAGAGATTTTATCCTTGGCTGGGTTTGATCAGAGCAGGACTGTTTCAAAGAGGGATCTAAAAGAGCTTCATTCCATGGTTTTAAGCTGAAAGAGGGGAGGTTTAGGTGGGATATGAGCAGGAAATCCTTCCCTGGGAGGGAATGGGGTGGAATTCCCAGGGAAGTGTTTGGATGGGGCTTGGAGCACCCTGGGGCAGTGGAACGTCTCCCATGGGATGAAATGATCTTTGCATTCCCCCCAACCCAAACCATCCCATGCCTGACTCTGTGCTGCCAAGATTTATCCAGAACCTTTCCCACCTCTGCATTTTCATTTTTTTTTTTTCTCCTTTTGTTTTGCAGACAAACCCCAACTACAGCCAAGAGAAGAACCGCTGCGAATACCTCCACAACAAACTGGCCCACATCAAAAAACTGATAGCAGAGTATGACCAGCAGCAGTTTTAGCTGCCACTCACCCCTGGACTGGGTAGGGCAAACCAAAATCCAGTCACCCTGGACATTTAAGTTCCCTTTTATACACCCAAAATCCCTTTCAGAGACGAGCATTAATTCCTCGTGGTTGAAGAACTTGGGGATGACTTTAAGATGCCAGATCTGTCATGTCCACGTCCAGCACGCTCCTCCCGAGTTTTTAAGCCTCTCTGAATGTTGGAATGTAACAAAATGGATAACAAAAAAAAAAAAAAAAAAACCAAAACAAAACCCAAACAAACAGAAAAACAAACAAACAAACAAAAATTCTGCTTCTTTGAAGCCAGCGTTTGACACTTAAGGGAAAAACTTGTCTAAAGTGACCGAAGCTCCCAAAGGTTAAGAATCTGTAGTTTTCATGGATTAAAAGTTTGGCATGAAGTTGTAATTTCCCCCTGGCCCAGCTCCACGTGGGTTACAAATTGTCCTACAAATGGTGAGGAACTGGAATTGCTGCTAGGACTGTTTGGAATGAGAGCTGTGTGCTCCCGGCTCCGCGGAAATACACCAACGTTCCCTGAGCTCTCCTTGTCTGGCCCTGCTTTGTCATTGTCATCCTCGGGGGGTGGTGGTGGCAGCACAGGGGGTCCCCTGGGGCTCAGCACCTTGCCCAGGGCAGAGGTGGATCCCAAAAAAACCAACCCCAAACCCCCCCCTTCTTTTCTTTATTTTCTTTTTTCTTTTTCTTTTTGCTTTGTTCCGGTGCAAACCTCCTGCCCAGTTCACCTCCAGTGCTGGGAAGTCGGAGAACCCGTCTGCTTTTGACTTTTCTAATTTTCTAATGAGGCAACCAGTTTTATTAATTGCTAATGAGACTATGGTCTATTTTTGTATCAAAAAAAAAAAAAAATTAGGAAAGGAAAAAAAGCTTTTTTTTTTTTTTCTTTCTAAAACTGTGCCTCCCTTTTCCTTTTAGGCCAAGTGCTTGGGACCTTTTTCTTTGCAGTATTACTAAAACTGACCCAGGAGTCACCCAGAGGAGTGACTTTATTCCTTGATCCATGAGAGGAGGGGGTGGGGGGTGCTCTGCTCTCTCCTGGGATATTTTTTATTTTTTATTTTGTGTGTGTGTGTCTTTGCAAGGCAGCAGCAAATCCTTGTGAGAGCAGCAAGGTGCTGTTTTCCCACGCGGATCCCTTCCACTGGTGTGCTTTATCTCAGCCAGCTTCTCCCTGCAGTCCTGCTTCCTGATTTTTATTTTTTTGGGTTTTTTTTTAAATTCTTTGGATTGAAGGGAACGTTTTAGAGTATGGCCAGGGTGTGAGAAACACTCCAAAAAGCACAAAGGTGTCCTTTAACTCTGCTGTTCCTTTCTTTCTCTCCCCTCTCCCCTTTTTAATCCTGCCAGCCTGTGGGATTTGACTTCTTCCCGCTTCCGTTTATCTCAAAGTAAAGGATTCCTTCCCTGTGGAGTCTCCTTCCCTTGGAGGTTGCACTGAAGAGCCTTTCACCCTTTGAAGGAGAGGAATGGCAGAGTTAAGGAGGGAAACACTTCTTCAAACAAGGAGTAACTTGGAGGTTTTCTGGTTTTTTTTTTTTCCCTGCCCCAAACGAATCGTGGGTCCATCTGCTGTATTAAAAATAGGAGATAAAACGATTAATAATTATTATTATTATTATAATTTCATCGTTGTCACACAGCCAGGGCCACTGCTTTTTGCTTTGTCACTTTATTCTGAGGTCTCTCCCTGTGCATCCAGGGCTTGGCCGTCCCCTTCTCCCAGGGAAAGGTGGCAGCCCGAGGGACACGGTGGCCCTGGGAACGCCACCGGAATTCCACCAGTCTCCCACTGGTGCTCAGCCCCAAACCCCTGGAGAAGGAGGGTGGGAAGAGATTCTTGTGCCCAAGGAGCGCAGGGGGAGCACCCCAGAACCCCCCCAGGGCATTCCTGCTGGGAATCCCGGGGGTCAGGAACGCTTTGCTCCCGTCCCTTCCTTCCCCAAATCAAACCCCGAGCTCACCAGCTGCCTCTGGTGCTTCTGGAAAATGCTGGGAGTTTTTGTCTGGAGAACTTCGTGGGGCTCCTGCCGGGAATCCCAGCCGGGAATTGCGCGCGGGGGGAGCCGTGGGGATCCGGGAGGGGACGAGGAGAACCTGGGATGTCCCAAATCCTCAGCCCCGCTCCGGGCTCGTCGCTGCACAACCCGGCACCTGCCCAACTCCACCAGTTTGGGGTGGGAAAACTGAATTTCCCCGGTGCTGGGGCTCGGTGGAGGCTTCGTTCCGTCTGCGGAGGAGGCGGAACTCGGGATGGCAGAAGAGGCAGCAGCTACAAACCCAGGATGAGTAAATTCTTCCATGGAAACACTTCTCCTGATCCTTAATATTTTGCAAGGAGGGGTGTTTGTTGTTTTTTTTTGTTGTTGTTGTTGCTTGGGGAGGGGGGGATAGAGATGGATCTCAATCTTTATACATCTGCTATAAGATATTTTTGCAAACAGAGTTGTATACAAAGATGTATTGTGTACATTTACATGTATATTCTGGAACTTCTAAAAAATTTGAATATAAAAAAAAAACCCTGAAAATATTTAATGAATTATCCAAACTGTGAGACCCAATTAGCATCCACCAACTTCCTGCTTCACTTTTCTTTTGGACTGTGTTAAAGAATTGTAGTCGAATCTGCCTTTTTATTTTTCTTTTTTATTTTTCTTTTTATTTTTTTTTTTTCTTTTTAGAGACGACGAAGCTTAGGCAAAATTTTGTGCTTTTTGGGTTAATAGAAACCAGTTCTAGGTGATTAAGTATGATCTTAACTTATTGATACTGTGTTTTACTTTGTAATATTGTACTGTGGATAAAAAACTATATTGAGCCATGGAGTTGGAGTTTACAAAAGAGCTTTTCACTTTGCCAAAATGTTACAATTTCAAGGCAGCATAGTCTTCAGCTTTCCTAATCTTTTTTCTTAAGAGCTAGTGTCCTTTTTTTGTACACTAAAAAAGCTGAATGCTGATTTTGCAACATATAATAAATTCACTGTATTGGAAAACAAGCAGACAATAAGGTTGTGGATTTCTTTTCAATGCTTCTCCCTGCAAGGAAACTCAAAAGGGAAAGGTGATAAATGGCTGGCGTGGAGCTTGGAAGCAGGAAACGGGAAGGAACCGGGTCACTCGAGTGAGCTCAAGTGTCAGAGCAGGGACTAGGTAAGAAAGAGGAGAGGGAAGAGGTGTTTGGAGCAGGCCAGCTCCTTGGAACGCCGCGCTGGGCTCGGCCTCCAGCCCTGGCACGAGCTGGGGGCTTCCCACTGCAGCACCCGCCGGGATTTTGGAGGAAAAGCGGCTCTGGAAGAGGCTGGATGCTGCTGGAGGCTCGGGGATGCTCCTCTGTGGGAGTGTGAGGCTCATCCCGGCGGTGCTGCTGGAGCAGGAGCTGGGGATGAGCTCCCACCTCCTCTCACCTGGCTGAACCATCCCAAAAACGCTCGGGATGCAGCCGGGCTGGGTCAGGGCTGTCCCTGGCCGTGCTGTCACCACGGGACTGCTCTGGCCCTGCCTTCAGCAGCATCCCTGGGGCTGCGTGGAGCAGGCAAAATAAAATCAAGGATAAAACTAGTCAGGAGTGAAATGGCCTCGGAATCGCTGCTGTGTTCCTGCTGCCTCCCTCCTGGAGCAGAGGGTGACAAACTCGGGGCTGGAGGCCACAGGTGCTGCATTCCCTGTGTCCAGAACCAGCTTGGCTTGAGTCCTGGATTCGGGATTGTCCCTCCAAAACAGAAAACTAGGGAGAAGGTGACAATAATCCAGGGGTCAAATGACGTTTTGCAGAGTCTTGGTTTATTTTTTAAAAGGTGTCCTTGTCCTTGTAGCTGACACGGCAGCACCTGCACAGGGGGACACTGGGTGGGACGGAGCAAGAGCTGAGCCCAGGCTCTTGCAAATCCCCAAATCCTCCAGTTTTAGTTTCAGAGGTGGCTTCTGAGTCAAGCTCTGCACCCCAGACCCCCTTTTCACCCTCTGCGAGCTTCCCCCGGGGCTCTGAGCGGATCCAAGGCCGGCTCCTGCCCCGCGGGGACGCTCGCACAGGAAGGGTCCCCATCCCCTCCCAGCTTTCCTGGGGAATTCCTCCCAACCGCTGGCAGCTCCGGCGCTGCCCGGGGTCACGCATTGAGCTCATTAACTCGGAGCTGCCCCAGTGGAAATTTACTGGCTGCGTTTGCTGTGCCAGAGCCAGCCGGGCTCTGCCGCCGCCGCCTCCTTATCGGCCCCGCCGGGAGCCGGGAGCGCCGCACCGGGAGCATCCCCGCGCTCCGGCTCCTCCCGGCCGCCCAAACCGAGCTCAGGAGGAGCCCCGCGCTCCGATAATTCACTGATAACTCAGGTCACACTCGGGAAAAGTCGCTTTGCACCGCATCTTGCGCAAACCGCCCCTAATTTGGGGTCACGCAGGCGTGGGAAGGCCCTGGCCGGGTTTCAGGGATGCTGGAAACGCGGTGACAGCGCTGTGGGGGTTTTTCTCCCGTGGGTTTTTAACCCTGTTGGGTATTTTTTTTTTTCCCCCCATGGGTTTTTTCCCCTGTGAATTTTTCCCCCCCGTGGGTTTTTTCCCTGGGCACCTTTCGCCGCTCGTGGCTCGTTTACAGGAGGAAGCTCATTAGAATAATTTGTCCTCGCCACGGTCCGATGGCTCTGGTCCCTCTCCCAGAGCAGCTGCTGCACCTCCAGCGCCGGGCACGACCCCCAAAATCCCCCTCTGCTCCCTCCCTGGCAGGCGTGGGCCCGACCTTGGGCACGCAGCGCCCGGCCGGCGATGGCACAGGGAGAGGGAGGAGGATGAGGAGCTGCCAGCGGGGATAATGAAGGGCCTGGGATTGTGTTACACCAGGGGAAAAAACCCAACTGCGGAGGGAGGAAAACGTGGCAAGGGAACGCTGAGGCTGCCGCAAGGCACAAATCTGGGGCTGGCGGGGATGTGGGGGGAGACAGAGGCAGGACCCCCCCACCCCCAGCCGAGCCCTTCCCCAGCCCTCGCAGCATCTCCGGCTGAACCTGCTTAGAATGAAGCGCTGCAGAATTTGGGAGCCCCCCGGCGGGGGCTGCGTGGCCTGGATCCCCATCCCGGGCTTGGAGCGGGGGGTCTGCTGGAAGCGGGGGGTGGGCACCGTTGCTGGGGGAGCGGGGCCGGTCGCTATGGCTCCGCTACGGCTCCGCTGGCCCCCGGCCAGCCCCCGGCAGCTGGGGAGCGAAGGCACTGGGCGGCCGGCCCGGGCTCCCGGCCCATGGACGCGTTGGGCGAGCGGGAACAAGGGAGCCCCGCTCATGCGGTGCCGAGCGTGGGAGGAGTGGGAAGGGAGTGGGGGAAGGAACAATGGTGGGAGTTATGGGAGGGGGGCGAGAATAAAAAAAAAAAAAAAAGAAAAAAAATAAGGGAAGAAAAAAAAAAAAAAAGAGGAAAAGCAGTGGAAAAATACCAGTTCTGGGCCCCTGGCAGCGCTGCCCGGACCCTCCCCGCCCCAGGATTATTGTACAAAGAAATGTTATTTTTGTTTCAATAATTTGCTGAGGCACTGGCATTCCAGCGCGGGGCTCGTTTTGTCCTCCAGCCCGGCACCAAGGGATCATTGTTCCTCCATGGCCAAGGGGCCGGACACGGGCCCCCGGCACCGCCGTGCCCTCCACCGCCGCCTCTCCCCGCGGCCGCCCGGCCGCAGGTGCCCTCCGGGGTCGGTCCCGGTGGGTCCCGTCCCGCTGCGTGCCGGAGGCTGGGTGGCGATGGCAGCGAGCCCCGAGGAGCGGGGTGGGTGGCGGAGGAGGGCAGAGCTGTCCTCGCCGTGTCTGCGGGGAGCGAGGGTGGGGAGGGGGCCGGGGCGTTGCTCCGGCTCCGGGGGCCCCTTTGAAGCGGGGCGGGCCATTGAAAGGCAGCGGGACCCCGGGGGCCGCCAGCGGGGGGGGCGGCCACGACCCCTTTCTCTGCGCTCCCCGGGCCCACGCGGGGGGTGCGGCCTCACACAGGGGCCGGTGCCCCCCGGCAGCGCCCGCGGGGACCGGGCTGTCCGCCCTGGGAGCTCCGGGGCTCCGGTCCGGGGTCTCGGTCGAGCCGTGACATTTGGGGCAGCTCTGGGGTGTCCATGGCGGGGGCTGCGGGGTGCCGTCACCTTCGGGGTGTCCGTGCCGGGGGCTCCATGACTTTTGGGGCGCCCAGCCCGGGGGCAGCAGCAGGATGACAGGGGCTGCGCGGTGCCGGTGCCGGTGCCGGTGCCGGTGCCCGGCTGGCAGCCCCGCGGGAGCGGCGCCGTGGGAAGGCGCCCGCGGGTCCCGGGCGCAGGAAGCCGCCGTCCCGGGGCTGTCAATGGCCGGAAGGCGGCGGCGGGACCCCCGGTCCCGGGCCGGGACCGGCCCCGGCGACACTTCCCCTTCCCGGGTCAGCGGCCGCTTCCCCCTCCCGCCCGTCACCTCCCGCCACCCCCCGGTACGAGCGGCCGGCGTGGTCCGGGGAGCCCCGCACGTGCCCCGGGACCGGGGGTCGGGAGGGTCCGGGGGGGGTCTGGGGGGGTCCGGGAGGGGTCCGGGGGGGTTCGGGGCTGCCGGTGCCGGTGGGCACGTGCGGGGGGGCGGGGCCGGGCGGGGGCGGGGGCGAGGCGGGGCCGCGGAGCCGATTAAGCGGCGGGAGCCGGGGCGGCCGCAGCGCGATCGCATCGTCCCCGCGGGGCAGCACCGGACACGGAACACCGGGCACCGACACCGGGCACCGACACCGGGCACTGAACACCGGGCACTGAACACCGGGCACCGAACATCGGGCACTGAACACCGGACACCGGCTGTCGGCGCTGGGCACCGAACATCGGGCACAGGGAACCGCCACCGGACAGCGGGCACCGGGCACAGCCGCTGGCACCGGGCACCGGGCACCTATACAGACACAGGCACCGGCTCCGGCTCCTGCGCGCCCGGCGCGGCCCGGCCCGGTGAGTGCCCGGCGGGGCGGGACTGACCCCCGGAGAGGTTCGGCTTTGCGGATCCGTGTCCCCCCGTGCCCTCGGCGGGGTCAGCTCTCGTCCCGGCGTCCCCCGCCATCCCCGGCTGCTGGGACACGCGCTGTCCCCAAATTCCCTTTCCCCTGGAGAGGGACAGCTCCTGTCCCAGTGTCCCCTCTGCCACCCCTGGGAGCTGGGACAGTCTCGGTCGCGATGTCCCCTGGGACAGCTCCGGGAACAGCCCCGGTCCCCATGTCCCCTGTCCCTTCTGTCACCCCAGGGTGTAGGGACCGCCCCTATCACCAAATTCTCTGCGTGCCTGGGAGCTGGGACAGCCTCTGTCCCCATGTCCCCTGCAGATCTGACACCCTGAGGAGGAGGGACACCCCTGGTCCCCGTGTCCCCTGTGCGCCACCCCAGGGTACAGGGCTGTCCCCACGTCACCTGGAAGCGACCTCTGTCACCCGCAGGGATCGAGGGAGGTTCCCACGTCCCCCGCATCCCCCCAGCCCCCCCGGCGTGCAGGGACACCCCTGTGCCACCCCCGGGGAGGGGACACCAGGGACAGTCCCTGAACACCGTGCACCCCTCGGCTCTCTGGGCCCTCCGTGAGCTCCTGGGGCGCGGCTGTCCCCCCCAAACCCCCCCCGCGTCCCGCGACAGGGGCTGCAGTGACCGTCCCAGTGCCACCAGCACGCTGGGGAAGGGCAGGGAGCCAAGGTCCCCACGGGCGGCGAAGCCACGTCCCAGCTGGGCGGAGGGCCCGGGGAGGGCCGGGGGGGTGGCCCGGCGTGCCAGGCCAGCGGAGCTGACACCCATTTCCTCCTATTCCAGCTCCAGGAACAATGGCAGAGCCATTCCTCGTGGAGAGCCCCAACGTCACCTACAGCAAGGACTTCATCGAGGCCAAGTACACCTACAGCACCGTGCACGTCTGCAAGGAGAACGGCGTCACCAAGGTGGGCAGGGGCTCCGGGGGGCTCGGGGGGGGCACCGCTCGTCCCCGCTGTCCCCAGCTGTCCCCTGTCTCTGTCCCCAGGTGCGGCCGTGCTCCACCCGCTTCACCTTCCGCACGGGCCGGCAGGTGCCGCGCCTGGGGGTGATGCTGGTGGGCTGGGGGGGCAACAACGGCACCACGGTGACAGCGGCAGTGCTGGCCAACAAGCTGGGGCTGTCCTGGATGACCAAGACGGGGCGCAAGGTGGGTGTCCCCAGCAAGGAGGGTGTCCCCAGTGTGACCGTGGTGAGAGGGGTGTCCCCAGCGTCACCCCAGCAGGGTGGGTGTCCCCAGAAATTGCCCAGCAAGGGGGATGTCCCCAGTGTGATCCCAGCGAGGTGGGTGTCCCCAGCAGGGTCCCTGCACGAGGTGTGTCCTCAATGTGACCCCTGCAAGTGCCACATCCCAACGGGGGGGACCTGAGGTCATCCCACAGGGATGGGGACACCAAGCTCAGCTGCACTGGTGTCCTACACCCCAATCTCCTCCCTGCCCCTGCGCAGGGGCTCTGCAGTCCCCAGCCCACTTTTGGGGTGCTGGGACCCCTCCTCCCCCTGCCAGCGCCTCATCCTTGCCTGTCCCATCCCAGAAAGCCAATTACTACGGCTCCCTGCTCCAAGCCTCCACCGTGTGCCTGGGCACCGGCCCCTCCGGTGATGTCTACGTGCCCTTCCGGGACCTGCTGCCCATGGTGCACCCCAACGACATCGTCTTCGACGGTAGGTGGGACACGGGGGGGACCCCAGAGCGGCGCGGGGCACCCCGAGCTCTTGGGTCACCCCGTGTCCCCCAGGCTGGGACATCTCCTCGCTGAACCTGGCGGAGGCCATGAGGCGGGCGGAGGTGCTGGAGTGGCCGCTGCAGGAGCAGCTCTGGCCCCACATGGAGAAGATGAAGCCCCGAGCTTCCATCTACATCCCCGAATTCATCGCCGCCAACCAGGAGGAGCGGGCGGACAACGTCCTGCGAGGCTCCATGGCCGAGCAGGTCCGGGCAGGGAGGGACAGGGGACGGGACAGGGGCCACGGGGGCGGTGTCACCGAGCTGACGCGTCCTCGGCCGTGTCCCAGGTGGAGCAGATCCGCAGGGACATCCGAGACTTCAAGGAGAGCAGCGGGGTGGACAAAGTCATCGTCCTGTGGACGGCCAACACGGAGAGATTCTGTGACATCGTGCCGGGGCTCAACGACACCGCCGACAACCTGCTGAGGGCCATTGAGGTCAGGGGCCGGGCGAGGGGCGCGGGAGGGTGACCCCAGGGCCGCGGTGGCGCTGAGCTGGCCCCGTGTCCCCGCAGCGAGGCCTGGAGGTGTCGCCGTCCACGCTGTTCGCCGTGGCCAGCATCCTGGAGGGCTGCGCCTACATCAACGGCTCCCCCCAGAACACCTTCGTGCCCGGCGCGGTGGAATTGGCCGCCCAGCGCCGCGTCTTCATCGGCGGAGACGACTTCAAGTCGGGGCAGACCAAGCTCAAGTCGGTGCTGGTGGATTTCCTGGTGGGCGCCGGGCTCAAGGTACGTGGGGGTCTCGGGGGGGGGGTGTTCCCACCCGCAGGGGACAGGGGGTGACCCACCCGTGTCCCCCCGGCCAGACCAAGTCCATCGTGAGCTACAACCACCTGGGGAACAACGACGGCAAGAACCTGTCGGCGCCGCAGCAGTTCCGCTCCAAGGAGATCTCCAAGAGCAACGTGGTGGACGACACGGTCCAGGCCAACCCCATCCTCTACGGCCCCCAGGACAAACCCGACCACTGCGTGAGTTGGGGGGCGCGGGGTGGGGTCACACCCGGAGGTGACGGCGGGGGTGACGGGGACGTGGCTTTGGCAGGTGGTGATCAAGTACGTGCCCTACGTGGGGGACAGCAAGCGGGCGCTGGACGAGTACACGTCCGAGATCATGATGGGCGGCACCAACACCATCGTCATCCACAACACCTGCGAGGTGCGTGCGGGGCCACCGGGCTGTCCCCGGGGTGTCCCCTCGGTGCCGGGGTGGCTCCTGAACCCCTCGCTGCCCGCAGGACTCGCTGCTGGCCAGCCCCATCATCCTGGACCTGGCCATCCTGACGGAGCTGTGCCAGCGCATCACCTTCTGCACCGAGGCCGACCCCGAATTCCAGGGCTTCCACAGCGTCCTGTCCATCCTCGCCTTCCTCTGCAAGGCCCCGCTGGTTCCCGAGGGCACCCCCGTGGTCAACGCGCTCTTCCGCCAGCGCAGCTGCATCGAGAACATCCTGAGGTACCCGGGGAGGGGGGTCTGGCCTCGTGGCCACCAAGTGCCACCACCCCCGTGCCCACGGTGGCACCCAAAGGCTTGCAGGGGGTCCCAGTGTGGGATACCCAGGGTGCCAGGGGGGTCCCGGTGCCCACCGTGGGGTGTCCAAATCCAGGGGGTCCTGGAGCCCAAATCCTGGGGTGCCCGGTGCTGGTGGGTGGGTCCCAGTGGCACCAGTGGGTTCCAGTACGTGCTGGTGGGTGGGTCCCAGTGCCCCTGGAGGTGCCCCGGACTGAGGGTCCCCATTTCCCAGCCATGGGGTGCCCCAGGGGAGCAAGGTCCCAGTGCCTGGGGTGCCCCAACACACAGACCCCGGTACCCAGTGCCCAGCGGGCCCTGCCCCAGTGGCTCCCAGTAACCAGAGCCTGGGATTCCCAGTGCCAGCAGGTCCCAAAACTTGGGGTGCCCAGCTCCAGCGGGTCCCAAAGTTTGGGGTTCCCAGAGCCCGGGGTGCCCAGCTCCAGCAGGTCCCGGTGCCCAAAGCTCATGGATCTGAGCACCAGTGGGTCCCCGTTCCCAGTGCCCCATTCCAGCTGGTCCCACTCTCCAGAGCCCCCCAGTTCACCCCCAGCACACCCCAGTGCCCTGAACACCCACCCCATTCCCCCCATCCCCCGGCTCTCCGTGCCCCCCATCCCTGGGGTGCCCCCCTGACCCCCGTGTGTGCCCCCCAGGGCCTGTCTGGGGCTGCCCCCCCAGAACCACATGCTGCTGGAGCACAAGATGCAGCGGCCGGCGCCGAGCCCCAAACGCGCCTGTCCCGGGGGGGCCGCCTGTCCCCTGCTCCCCAAAAAGAGCCCGGCAGCGCCCGCCCAGCTCAACGGGCACCCCTGTGCCCCCCGGCCGGGGCCCCCCCGAGCCCCCCTGCACATCGATGGCGCTGAGTAACCCCAAACCCACCCGGAGCGGCTTTTTAGGGGGGGTGGGGGGCGGAGGGGTGGGTTTTGGGGGGGGTTGTTCCCACCCCCCACCCCGATTCCTGATGGCGACTCCAAACTGTGAAGCTTTGTACCCACCAATAAACGCGGAGCACAGAGTGACCCCTCCCTCACCTCCCCACCAGTTTTTGGGGTCTCTTCGCTTGGGTTTTGGGGTCTCTTGGGGGGCTTTGGGGTCCCCCAAGGTGGTTCCTGGGGACCTCACATGGTTTTGGGGTCCCTTCACTTGGTTCCGAGTTCTTTCCCCTGGTTTTGGGGTCCCTTCACTTGGTTCTTGGGGTCCACCTCGTTCCTCTTCATGTGGTTTTGGGGTCCCCTCACCCGGTTCTGGGGGTCCCACCCCACCCCCAGCGAGACCCAAATATCGGCGCCTTCTGAAAAAAAATCAAATTACATTTATTGATGCGGGGGGAGGGGGGTGTTGGGGGGGTCGTGGAGTGTTTTGTTTTTTGTTTTTTGTGGTTTTTTTATCATTTTAGGGCGCTTTTTTTTCTTTTTTTTGCTCTTTTTGTATTTTTTCTTTTTTCTTTTTTTTTTTTTTTTTTTTTTTTTTTTTTTTTTTTTTTTTTTTTTTTTTTTTTTTTTTTTTTTTTTTTTTTTTTTTTTTTTTTTTTTTTTTTTTTTTTTTTTTTTTTTTTTTTTTTTTTTTTTTTTTTTTTTTTTTTTTTTTTTTTTTTTTTTTTTTTTTTTTTTTTTTTTTTTT